CTTGTCAGACAAAAGACTAATACCTACAAAACTATTTTTTTCTTATTTCTATTGGTTATTTGTATACATGGAAAGAATATTATAAGGAAGAAAGGTGTGTTGAACTTATATCCCAATATCAGTGGATAAAATTTAAACCCTAAGGAGAGGTACATTAGGAAAAATTGCTCTTTGTGGTTTTATCAAGAGCTGTGGTTCCATTTGTAACCAGAAGATGGCAGAATTGATACACTGATGAATTACAAGGGTTTTAAATTTTTAATGGTGGTGTAGAAAGATGTTTTAGGTATTTATTCTTAATTTGGAAACTTGTTTTCTAGAAAGAATTTTGGGAATTACACAAAGGATGTGGGATAAAATACAAGTATGTGAACTGTGCATTTCAAAAATCTTCAGCTCTTTATTTCATTAATATGCCATATTAAGTTTACTCTGCAGTCTTCAAAGCAGCTTCTTTGTTTTTACTTTGATTGGCACTATTCAACTTAAGTTTCTATTGACTTTATTATAGGTTTACCTGTTTAATCATTAAGAATTGGCTGATATTAAACCTTGAATCTTTAAGTTCATTAGATGTGTGTAAATATGATACACCTTTTATTAAAAATAATTCTGGAGATGATAATCAAAGATTTGGGTTTCATCCTTGCTGCCTAAGCCAGGTAGCTTTCTGACCTTCACTAACTTCTGCAGTCTCAGATTGATTTACATATAAAATGCTGATATAATTAGCTTCTAATATCAAAGGAGTATTTTTTTGCAGGTCGTTAGTTTCTTAGAGAAGAAGCTTAAACCAGTAATTTTTTCTGAACCATGATGAAGTGGTTGGGAAAAAAGAGATAATGTTAAGATAAGGTACTATGGTGATGCCTAGTGACTTTGAAGAGTGTTTCAAGAACACGAGACTGGCAGTGAGGCTGGCTGCTCATGCTGGCAGATGTGGGAGGTGTCGAATTTAACTGTGGCCATGAAAGAAGAGCAAGGGTTTCAGCAGCATTATCTTTCCCTCACTCCTTTCTTTCTCTCTGTCTTCATTCATTAACCTAATGTGAGACTGTAGTTTGCTGTAACTTTTTCCCTTTCAGACACTTAGTCGTATGACTTCTAATTTTGCACTTTGGTGCTTAATAAATACTAAAGGCGATGTTCAGCTCTCTATTGCAAAAATAAGTAAAATCTTATTAGAAAAGTTTGTACTGTGTCAAAGAAAGAGAAATGTTGGTAACAGCTTCATTATTATAAACAATTTTTAATCTAAAGCTCATCAAATATTTGATATGCTTAAATCTAATGAGTGTTGCATTTCATTGTTGATAAAAGATGGGGACACATGTATTTTCTTTATGTAAAACCTTAGCTTCCTTGTCCTTTGATAGAACTTTCACAGATAAAGCATTCTTGGGTGTAATGAAAATGCTACCATTCCTGTGTGATGGATTCATACTGAATCCCCAGATTTATGAGGAAAGAATGCTGTAGAAGAGTGGATTGACCAAGAGGCCCACAGATGACATTACTTTTATTTCCTTTCATAGAACCACAATACTGTAACATGTTTTTGTTCTTGTGCAGTGAAATACTCTGTTGTACCTCAAATTCAAATCTAAGAAAGATCAAGAGTTAATAGAAAATCAAATGGAAGGCAGCAGAGTTACTGGAGAAAATAGAGGCATTGCTTTGTGGCCTCTCATGCTGTGGAAGTCAGGAAGCCATGCGGGGTGCTTTGTACCCCTTCTGTTAGATTGCTTTTCATCTGAGAGGCTTTTCAGAGTTTCCCCCTGTTTCTGTATTTTAAAGAAATAAAAACAATAATGTAAGAACATGGAACGTTATGAAGCGTGAAGTTCCATACATATTTACACCGACTCACAAAAGCAGACAGTTCCTATTTTCTTGACATATTGGGGTCACTTTTCACTCTTGACCCCTTGAATTGAAAAATACAAGGAGTTAGTATACCCTTTTCTTTATTTTTTATTTTCATTTCTTTAATGAGTTTTAGATGCTGGGAGCTGTCCTGTTAGGTTCATGTAAGCTTCACAGGATTTTATTTTCTATCCAAGTTTTATAAGGATGGATTTAAAAATTTTCTCTTATCAAAAATAACAGTTTATTCTTAATTTTAGGCCTTAGTGGTTAGCTGTTTGGTTTGTTTTTGTGTGTGTTACATTGAATTAAAAATAAATGTTGTGTTGTTGAGGATACCAAGTAGGATTGCATAGAATAGCTTATTTTAAAGTAGCTCTTTCTTTTTTTTTCTTATTCACTTAGACTCTTTGGTCCATAGCAAATATTTTTGCCCTATGAAATTATGTTGAAAAAACTTAGGAAGTAATAACATATGTTCATTGTAGAGAATTTAGAAAATGCAGGTAGGGAGAAAAGGAGAAGCATTACCTGTAATCCCGTTCTGTTTTTCCTTGTCTTTATATAACTATATATATACACATGGTTTTCAACATAAAGAAAAAATATATACTTTAAAAATTCTGGAGTATTGGGAAGGCCCTTTCAATGGAAGTGATTGATTTTTTTGATGTTATTTTTCTTCTTGGGTAGTTTCATTTGTTTTCTACATAAAATAATACAAAAAACAGTGCATATGATTTTATTTGTCAATTATACCTAAATAAAGTTGGGGGAAAATACAGTAGAGAGAGTCCCTGCCTCGTTTCACAGTGATTAGTAAGGTTGACGCTTAGTTTCTACCTGCCCTCATCGTGTTTATGGTTCAATAGAAGAGAGAATATATTTGAAAAACTATGTGATATAAGTTAATAAGTAAAAAACGTCAGGTAATGTAGTTTATTTTGAGAAATAAGAATAAGGAGGAAATAGTTTAGAGAGTAAAGAACTTAAGGAGAAAAGGTATGATTGGGGAAAATTAATAATGATAGCGATCAGTTCTTAAAAGGATACATAAAGATTTCTGGACCAAGTCCAATAAGAAAAATGGGACCCAGGAAGGCAAAGGGAATGCTTGAGAGTTCACTTTCAGAGTTCGGGCCACACTCTTTTTTTTTTTTTTAATAGTATTTTATTTTATTTTTTAAAATTAATTAATTAATTTATTAAATATATTTGTCTCTGCCTCCCCCCCACCACTTACCCTTGCCCCCTCCCTCCTTCCCTCCCTCAGCTCTTCCCCTTTGGTTTTGTCCATGAGTCCTTGCTATATGTTCCTTGACTTTCCCCTTCCCTTCCCTTTCCCTGCCCGCCCCCTTCCCTCTTGTCTCTGTTGATTTCTTTTCCTTTCAGTGTTGCTGGTCATATTTTCCTTGCATCTTTGTATTGTTGGTTAGGTTCCACTTATAGGTGAGACCATATGGTATTTATCTTTCGCCCCCTGGCTTATTTCGCTTAGCATAATGCTCTCCAGTTCCATCCATGCTGTCGCGAAGTTTAGTAGTTCTTTTTTTCTTTCTGCTGCGTAGTATTCCATTGTGTATATGTACCATAACTTGTTGATCCAATCATCTACTGATGGTCGGGCCACACTCTTAAGTCAGAATGTGCTCAACCAGACACTGCTCATCTCCTGCTGGAGGTGAGCCTTGAAGGAAGGGTCGGGTTTTGATGCAGGAAGCGGCCCCTTGCCTGAGGACCAGCTGGGCAAAGGGGACCGTCGCAGCAGTGTGCCAGAGACCCCTGACTGCCTTTTCTCATAGCCTCTCGGGTCTTCATATATTTTCGCATCTCTTTCCTAGATTGTAAACTTCCACTTTGCTGTTACCACTTTCCCCATCCTATGTGCAGATATTAATCATCTTAAATAAAATAAAACAAAGAACCGCCTTCAACTATGAATCAATCTGCTGATGTATTAGCCTACTTCCTGGAGTAATAGTCTATGTTTGCCTATCTCTTCCTCGAAGTTACTTATGCATTCTCTGCATGGGTCTCCTGTCACAGCTTTCCGTTGAAACAATTTTGGTGAATGCTGTTAACCTTCATATGTACATTGCTTGAGACTCTTGACCCATTGCTCTGCAAATCTCCATTTGATACTTCTCTCTCTTGAACAGCAGATACAGTTCTTGGTTGCTTGCAGTTGAAATAGGTATTGGATAACTATGGACAAAAGGTCTTTGGGGGAAGTTAACACATACTGGTTACTTGCCTTCCCCTTCTGACTTACCAACAGAATGGTGATTTGGTTTGGGTGGCAGCATCCCTAACACTTTGCTAGATCTTTGTATTCTCAGCCGCCCTAACAGGGTGGCCATGTCACATGTGCAAGTAAATATTGTTGGGGAACATCAAAGAAAAAAAAAGGAGGCTTGTTTTTCTGGCCTTGGGCCCAGTTGTGTGACAAGTTGTGAGTGAGGGGTGGCATATATCTCTCCCTGGCATATCAGGAAGGTTGATGTTAAAATAGGTCACATGTGAGAATGGACTCACCAGGACCTATGCCACCTTGAGTGCTGCAGCAGGGTCTGAGAGTGCTTGGCGCTCCTCCTCCTCTACTGTGGGAGATCGGGTGTCCTGGGGCTGGGAGCTGGTTGAGGTTGTGAGGGGTGAGATGGGAGGTGAGGGGCAACCTGTTAATGAGCAGTCTTGCCACTACCAATGTGTGCAGTACTGCCAGGAAAGCAAAGGCACTATTGATTGGTTCATTCTTTCATCAGACATATTTGAAATGACTGTCATGTGAACATCAGATGGTGTTCAACAGGTGTTAGGGGTTCAACATGAGTAAATGTGCTTCTTGCTACCCATGAGCTTATAGGCAGATGTGCTTGGAACAGTGTGGTGGGAGGTGGGAGCGTCTATACAGAACAAGAAGGGGAAGGTTTCGGGCTAATAAAACAATGCCTGTCCATTAAGTGTTCTAAGTGTTTTATGTTAAAACAACAACAACAACAACAAAACCTTTTGACAGCTTACACTAGGCTCTGCACCTTATACTTCCTTATACCATAATTTTTACTTATGAAAAAATTTCAATTTTCATAGCAGTTACTTCTTTTTTAAGATGTACTTAAATTTATATATTTTAGGTTGCCTGCCTGATTCGAGTTCCTTCTGAAGTAGTTAAGCAGAGAGCACAGGTTTCTGCTTCTTCAAGAACATTTCAGATTTTCTCTAACATTTTATATCAAGAGGTGAGATGTGTTTTTAAGTTCTTTTTTCTTTATTAAGAAAGACTTTATAGCAGCTGATATGAGTAATGTGAATCTCATATCAGGAGTCCTAGAAGAGACCTTAAAACTAAATTTACTGTCTAATTATAGTAACTTTTCATGCTAAGATTATCAGTGTCTTTCCTTTGTTTTTGAAATTTTATTTTCATTTTATTTATTTTTAAAATTTGTAAACACATACTGAATGCTACTATCATGTGTGTGTCCTACATTGTAACTGTCCCATAGTTCCTTTTGAATCAGACCTGGAATAAGTAGTGAATGTGTAAAATGGATGAAGAGCTATTAAAACATTACTATAGATTTTGAGGGCCCATAGAAGAGAAGTCTACTAATGGACTGATATTAGTCACTAGCATCATAGTGTTTATGTCAAAGTGTAACTCCTCTTTTACTGGTTAGTGTTAAGCTGTGGGTCAGAGATCATTCCTGGTGGCCATGTGACTAGGAACCACTGAACTGCTTTTCTTCATACTTTTTACAGAAATCTTTAAACAGGTTTTTTTGTTTTCTGTTTTTTTTCCAAAAGTCAATCACATGGAAATTTCAATGAGTCTGGGTTTTAGAAAAAGTTGTTCTTAATGGTCCCTGTGTCACCTCGGTGAGGAGATACTGACTCTCTTCATTGTATGAATGACATCAACGCAGTAGAGGGTCTCTGTTGAATTATGTGGATGGTGAAATAGATAAGCCAAGGCTTGTCCAAAGGTTTTATCACTATTGTGAGGTTATTAATGAATTTATGTCCTCTTCTGATTGAAACTATGAAACTATTTTGATAGGAAAAGATAATCAACATGATGTGTGCATTTGCTTTTGGAAATATATTTATTTAAAGCATCTGAAGTATTCTTTTCATGAGAAGAAATATAGAAAGCAACTAAAGCTAAATTAATACGCAGTCAGTTTTATTATCAGAGATGTTTTATTTTAAAGGGAGCTGGCCTGAGCTTTACACACCTTAGGCTGCGTAGAACCTTTGACTTCTGAGAGGGCCGTGGTCAGTGTCATATTTTAAAACTCAACTTTAGGAGCAGTTCATGTGCTTTATTGAATGGCATTCTGGAACCTCTGCTATTCTCTTTTGTTTCAGGGCATCCAAGGACTCTATCGAGGCTACAGAAGCACAGTTTTGAGAGAGGTAGTGAACTTAATTTCCATTATTGAAGTACAAAAAACAGTATGTTTTGTTTAGTAAATTTATTTGGAGGAACTGATTTAAAAAGTTAGAAGGGAAATTATGATGACTTTTTAAAACACTCTTTACTTTTACTTGGTCTTACATCTAATACATGGGTCCAACGAAAGGGTTCGCTGAATGAGCAATCCCAGTGGTCAGAACAGCCCACCCTGTAGTTTCACTGTAATTCTAGAGTGGTGAGTGTTTGTTGCAGCTGAACTATCAGGAAATAACTACAAAGGGAAATAAGTTAATTACTCTAATACACAGAATTTGTGAAAAATTGGTCATGAAAGAAGTACTTTAAGGGACAGACGTCTCAAAAATCTGTATAAGGCAGTTAACTCTTGTTTTCCTAATAATAGTGTGATGAGCTGAGAAGTCCAGTCTGGCCTGGAGTCCTGGCCCACAAGCCATTTTACCTCCTGTGCCTTCCAACTCTGAAATTCCATGATTCAGTGTGGTCAATTTCTTCCTCTTCTTCCTGTCTTCCTTCTTCTCCTTCATCCCCTCTTCCTCCTCCTCCTCCTGCACCTCCTCCTCCTCCTTTTTGGTTGAAAAAGCAGAGTGACTTCAGTATTTGACTGTAAGAAGCATGTGTTATTTAATTTTTGCCTTACATAAAAGGGGCTCTTTTAAAGTTTAAAAGTTGATTTACAGTTATGTGAGACTTCGTAAGAGTTATACGAAGTCTTTGGTTTGGGACATAATTTTCTTTTTCTTTTTTAGTGAATTTAAATCCTAGGGTCCCATGGCCCCCCCCACTTTTATTGAGATATAATTGACAAATAAAATTGTGAAGTATTTAAAGTATACACCGTGAAGGTCTGGTATGTGTATAACTATGGAAAGGACAGGGACGTAATCTTCTATTAAGGAAAACACCGAAGAGCATCTATGTACATCTGCTCCAAATCATTCTTTTCTATTTGGTGTTCTTTGTATGCTAAAATATTTTCACTTAGGAAAATGTTTATAATTTAAATATTGTCATCATGAACAGAATATTGAAATTCTTTGATATCCTGACCTTTATTCCAGGTAGTTTTTTTGTTATATATTATAGATCAGCAATTTTCAAACTTTTTCATCTCATGGCACACATAAACTAATTACTAAAATTCTGCAGCACACCAAAAACTATATTTTTTGCTGATCTGACAAAAAAAGGTAAAATTTTGATTCAGTCACACCTGATGGCTATTGTTCTGTTGGCTGTTGTCATTTTTTTATTTGACAATCTAAGGGGGAAAAGGTCAGTGCCCCTGACTAAATAGTCAGGTAGTGCATGTTGTAAAAATTCTTGAAGCAGACTGGTTGAAAATCACTGTATTAGATTAGTCTTCTTTATGGAACATCTGTACTGTTATTTAAAGCTTTGATTTGTGCAAGGTAACTACTTTGGTGTAGTATGGTGCAGGTGATATTTCTTTGAAAACTTCATTCAAAGACAAACAGTGTTTCAAAATTAGTCATTTGTGGGAAGATGACTTCTCCCTTGCAAAAATATTACCTGCACTGTATCTTCATTCTGTACTTATATTCTGACTTACTAAACATGCGTTAGTTACTCAGATTCCACTTAGGTACAGGGAAAAGGCAGGGAGGCCAATGAACCTTTTTTATATTTCTGAGAGATGCTGAATAAATGAATACATTCACATGCCAGAGAATACTGGTTTTGCATTCAAACAAATAGATAAAACACATGGTTACAACTGCATTCTATTCTTTTAAAAATGTGTTTTGACATATGTCACACTAGTAATTAATTTCTAGGCTGCAATTCTTGAAAATAGTGTGACCCTACTGAGATGACTTTGTTTATTCAAAATGGCAGTTCTTTGTTGGAAATTTAATTGGGGTCTTTGCATTATGCGTATTCATGAAAGGGCGTTCAGAACTGATTTTAGTCAAAATATTGCTTTTGTACAGCTTCTCTGATGGAATGAGAGAAGAATTATTGCTGAATGAAACATAGCTTCTTTTCAAAATGAGAAAAATAAGAAGTGATATATCTGCTTTAAATAAAATTTTTGCATTATAGTTTCAATTCTTACATTGTTCTGATACCAGTATCAAATCTCTTTTGCCAAGAGTTTGTGTGATTGTTTCAGTAAGAAAACACATTGAAGCCTTAATGAAAATCACCAGGAGACTTATATGTTTATTCTGTGTACAATTTTTCCTTTAAAATAGTTTTATCTCCCTAGCAGTAGCCCATTAGAATGAGATTGAAATTTGGATCCATGCATTTTAAAATAGATTGTGTATTCTTTAGATTTTGTGAATGCTATCACCTGTTGTTGGATTTTTTATTTTTTTACTACATTTGATGTTTGTGGACATTGTAGGCTTATCCCTTATGTTCTCCTAAATTCTTTTAGTTACTGTGAATTTTAGATTGAGTCTAAGCAGGGTCAACAGATTATGCCATTTACCTCAGCCTTTCAGTATTTGTTTTCCTCATGATCTTGGCTGAGCATCATGGGGCAGTGGCGTCATTGCAGTAAGATGGAAGTGGGGAGCAAAGTCACAGCTTGCTTCAGAGCCAGGCTGATTTGAGAGGGTTCATTGTCCTGAGAGTTCTGTGGAGAGCAGCCTCAGGACCTTGGATGTGAATTAGAAGGACTTCTATAGAAGAAGAAAGCAGAGAAGGGCAAGTTGTTTCAAAAGAAGTAGGACCAAATTAAGCTCAGGAAATGTGTTTTATACACAATTTCTGTTTAACAATAATTTAAAAAGTGTCTTCTGTGTGTTGGGCACCACATAGAAGGAAATAATTAGGGCAGTGGATGTGTTATGATGCAGCATAATGGTGCTGTAATGACGTGGATGTAACAAGATGCAGCTGGAGTTCTAAATGAAGCAGTGCTTGAGTGGCACTCTGTTGCATTAATAAAAATTAGTTTTGACTTAATTCTTGAATGAATGACAATTAGAAATAGTTAAGGAGACAGGCAGATATAACAACATGAGCAAAGGCACCAAGGCTGTGAAAGAACATGTGTACCTTGCTTGCAAATCCAGCAGAATTTGGCTTTTCATACCTGTACAAGAGGCAAGAGTGATTTCCCTCTACCTGAAACCTAGTGAGGACACTTCATGAAAGCATTTGACCAAGTAGGGTATTTACTAGGAGGAGAGGTTGACTATTTCACCCCAGCTAAATGTTTGCCAGGAGAATGTAGTGGAGCACATGGGAAGGTCCCTTGGAAGAGCCTGACATATGTCCCCTGGAATTTGTAGGATAAATTACTGGTGTTCGACTCTTGTCTGCACAAATCTGATAGTGGTATGCTGGTTGTAGCTGCTTCATGGCAGGATGTTGCCATTTTGGTGATGAATAACTCCTGGCTTCTTTTTGGTGGATAAGTTTGGCCATGAAAGAGATTTGAGATAGATGAGGGTTATCTCCCCCTCTTTCCCTAATTTTCTTACCAGGCTTCAGTGAAAGTGAGAGTCCCTCCAATTCTATACACATGTAATCAAACATGTGCATTCAAAATCAAGCAGGCCAAAGTAAGTCATTCAGCCTAGTCTGTAAGTTCATTGAGGCCTTCAGTCTCTCTCTTTAGGTGCAAAAATTAACACTTGATTAAAAAGTTAACTTGCAAGTAGACGTGGAAGCTTTCCAAAGTTAGTTATGCTTATTTCGTTGATTATGCTATTACAGTTCCAATTATTTCTCCCTTGGCCTCCCTCCACCCAGCACCCGCCGCTCCCTGAGGCAGTCCCCACAGCTTTGTTCATGTCCATGGGTCATTCATTTACGTTCTTTGGCTACTCCATTTTTTATACAGTACTTTACATCCCCATGGCTATTCTGTAAGTACCAATTTGTACTTCTTAATCCCGTTACCTCTTTATTCATTTCCCTAAATACCCCTCCTGTCTGGCAACCATCAAAACTCTGTGTATCCATGATTCTGTCTCTGTTCTTCTTGTTTGCTTAGTTTTTTTTTTTTTTTTAGATTCAGTTGTTGATAGATGTGTATTTATTGCCTGGTGGGGGGCTGGGACCCCTCACTTCTGAGCTGTCCCAAATTTTTGCCCACCACACATGGATGTGGGACCAGCCAGTTCTTCATCTCTGTATCTCCAACCTCCTACCAGTCTGGATGGATGTGATTTCTTTAATTCTGTAGTTGTTGGACTTCCATTTAACTCAATTTCTGATGGTTCTGAGTGACGGTTGATCTACAGTTTAGTTGTAATCTTGATGTGGTTGTGCGAGGAGGCAAGCCATGTTCACCTACACCCCCATCTTGACTGGAAATCTCCCAAAGTTAGTTATGTTTAATATCTACTTCAGGCAATAATTTCCCTCATCTAGTGGATGGAACGGGAACCTTTAGGAATCAAGCCTCAAGTATTGTCCTTCTTTATCTCTTTTCCAGTTGTCTTGTCTGTACTAAGTTCCTTTCCCCCAAACTCTTCATGTTATACAGGGTGAGGCAAAGGTAGGTTAACAGTTGTCAATATGTTAAACAGAGTTTATTCTTGTATTATTTATTATTATATTATTTATCACATGAAAAACTGTACACCTACCTTTGTCCCACCCTAAGCCTCGTGTATTTTTCCAGAACCACTCTATCTTAGATGGTCTGCATCTTGTTTGTTTTCTTAGCCAAAATATTCTGGAGATCAATATATATCACTTCATAAAGAGCACCTTCTCTTTTTTATAATTGCATAATACTCCATTGTACAAATGAGCCATTGTTTATTTAACCAGTTTCTCATTGGTGGATATTGAAAACATACTACAATGAATAATATTGTTCCTGTGTCATGGTTGAGGATGTTTGTAGATTATATGCCAAAAAGTGGAATTGCTTGCCTAAAGCTGTATGGGCATTCGTAATTTTGATACTTACCACCAAATTGCTCTCCATGGAAGTACCCGTTGACACTTCGGCCAACAATGTGGGAGCTCTCTGTTTTCTTCTGCCCCA